AGCGTGGGCGCTCACTCCGAGCGCGTTCGCAGACCTGCCTCTGCACGACTTTTTGGACCAGCGGCGTGCAAACGGCACGTCGTACATGCTGCGAGAAGGCCGCGACTCCTCACGGGGTGACTGCCTCGCGCTGGTCGCTGCGAACCGACTGCTAACCCGCGTCCCTTGCGGCGGCGCCGAAAGCGCTCGGTGGGTGTACGATTCCACCACCATGGCCTTTCACCCCGCGCAAGACACGTCCCTGTGCCTCGACATCTTCTCTTTCTCCTCTCTCGGCGTGTACTGGTGTCACGGCGGCCCCAACCAGCTCTTTCGGAGCTCGGAGCGGGAGGTGCACTGCTCGCCCTACGACGAGCGCTTCTGCGTGTCGGTCGTGAGCGGCCGGTCGGGCGAGGATGCACGAAGGAGAGGCGAGGAGGGACCCAAAGACGAACTGCGGTGATGTGATCTGTGATCTGTGATCTGTGAGGGTCCGCCCGCAGGCGCATTTTGTATACCGAGCGGTGCCCGGTGCCGAACCTGTCGGACCTTGAGACAGGTGATGTGTAGAGAGAGGAGAGCAAACTCCCTAACTCAGTTTCAAACTTGCCACACCAATATACGGCTTTACAGATTACACCAGATCACACCGATCAGACCGTGCAGTACATCCCCGCGTCACGAGCGACGTCAGGTCGCACGCAGGTGCAGCACCGCTTACGTTTACGCATACATGGAAATCTCTGCGCAACATCGGAAGATCCTTGGACTGTAGATCGTAGATGCCTTTTAGAGATCTCTTAAGTGGCAAATCTCCTGCCAAGAGCAGCAGTAGATTGAAGAACTGGTGGAGGCAAATCTTCTCCGGTGTAGATGCTCGAGAGGAGTCTGAGATCTCGCGTTTGGTGCGTGCAGTCGCTTGAGATCTTGCGACAGAGGTGGAGATTCTGACTTCGCGCCAAAGGCGCCTAGAGATCGTGTGGGCCGACTGGAGATTGCAAAATGGCGCGAAAAGAGGGTGGAGATCCTTTTGCATTGTGAATGAGTCCATAGCGCATCTCCTTGAAGGTTTGAGCCCCCCTCCTCCCCCGGGCCCCCGAATCGACAGTGGAGATTGGAGATTGGAGATGGAGATCGGAGATCTGACTGAATCCGGCCTAAGATGACGACGTTGGAGATTGGAGATTGAAGATGGAGATCGGAGATCTGACTGGATCCGGCCTAAGATGTAGCGATGCCGGAGATTGGAGAGTACTGGAGAGATGGAGATCGGAGCCCCCCAGCCCCTAGTGGTGTCTCATCGATTTTTTGTTTTGTTTTTAGATAAAGGTCTGTGCGCGGACGGCCCGGGGAGCCTGCGGCGCCATTTTAATCTGCGCTCCTCTTTATGGCCTGCGGCGCCTGGCTTGAGCTTGGAAGTGTAAACGAGTCCGCCAGGGCGGTCTGCAAACACGAAGCGCGCTGCGCGGCGCGCGCGGTCTACGCCGAACTGGGGGCGGTATCATGGTTCACGCTGCCCACTCGGCAACTAGGCTCGCCGACATTGATCACGCACATAGACGGCGCGCGTGGCGCCGTCAGTATTCCGTGCGGGCTGGGCGGACTCGTTTACCCTTCCGCGTTCAGGGCCGGAGCCGCAGGACATTCTGAGCAGCGCGGATTTCCATGCCGCCGAGGTTTCCCCGGTTGCTGGACCATCCGACTCCGACTCTGACCCTCACTACGGGCCAGTTACTTGTACCACTAGGCCCC